CCTCCCAAGTGGCTGGGATTACAGGCTCACACCACCATGCCCAACTGATTATATTTTTAGTAGAGACGGGGTTTTGGTCAGGCCGGTCTTGACCTGCTGACCACAGGTGATCCACCCACCTTGGCCTCCGAAAGTGCTGGGATTACAGATGTGAGTCACTGTGCCCAGCTGCCCATTTTTTAATCAGTTTAGTTCTTTAATTTCAATTTAATTTCTGTCAGATCTGAGGAATGACAGACTGACCAAAAAGGATGGGTCAAGGAACAGGAGATCTCATTAGAGTCAAGGACCAAGTGTGCTACAAATAAAGGTTTGCCACAGCTGCCTGTGGAATGTGGGGGAAAAAAAGACTCTCTAATGAAACCACTCTAAGAGATGATAAAGTCTAGGGAATATCCCATGCGTGGATTTCTGAAGAAGTACTGGTGGCTATATACTGAGAACAACTTTGGACCAGGATAGCGGACATTCCGTGCACATCATCATGTAGGAATGACAAACTGAGAATGAAGAGGAGGACTACAAGCTGTGTGTCAAAGCGCTCCCAGGACACAAGGGAGAAGAACAGAAGACAATACTGACAGCAACCGAAAGGAGCAAAGGGCATCAAAGATCACCTGCTACTGGAAGCCATGGACCTGTTAGGAACACTGGCTAGACAAGAAAATGTTAACAGCATCACTACCTTCTCCCAAAATTATTTGGAGTGTAGGAGATAGTCCAAAGAGGAAAACCAGTTCTTGGTGAATAAATGTAAATGAAGGGGGTCTTCTAAGAAGTTGAGAATAACGGGGAAATTGTTTACAATGGAGTGGAAGTCTGAGTAAAGCCACAAGAGCAAAGGAAAGAAGAGTGGTCGGTCAGAAACAGTGAGTTATGAGGTCAAAGTCGGAGAGATTACATGACCGAGGGAGTTCATATTTAGGACCGATGATTTAAATGCATTTACTGAACAATTATCTACTGTGGGCTTGCTATATACCAGGCACTCTTCTGGGAACTGGGACACAGCAATGAACAAAGTTGTTGCCCTCATGGAGCTTAGAGTACACTGTGAGAAAAAGACAATAAATACATATAAAGTATGTCAGATGATGATTAGTGCAAGGTTAGAGGAACAGGAAGTGCCTGCAGGGGTGGGGACATGTCTCACTAATAAGGTGACATCTGAGGAAAGAGCTGTGGGACAAGTGGGGTCAAGACATGCAAAAACCTAGAGGAAGAGGGGAATATTTGAGGCACAGAGAACAGCAGTGCCAAGGGTCAGAGGTAATAATGGCTCCAAACAATGAGGGGGCAGAAGTAAGAGACAAGGTCAGAGAATAATGGGAGCCCATTACTGAGGTCATGCAGGACTCAGGTACTAAGTGTCGATTTTTACCCTGAGTGAGCCAGAATACCATTGCAGGATTCTGTGTAGAGGGTGACAGGACGTGACACAGTGCAAAAGGCTCACTATAAGTGCTACGCAGAAAATAAACTGGAAGCAGACCAGGGCAGAGGCAAGGAGAGCAGATAACACCAAACTGCAGGAAGCCAGAGGGCCGCCACTCGGACCTGTGCTAGGAGGTGCTCAGAAGAGATGGGGTCCTGGGTACGTTTTGAAAGTGGACATAAGATTTGCTAGAATAAATATAAGGTTCTTTGCCTAAGAACCTGGAAACACAGAGTTGCCATTTCAGGACTCAGGAACGATTACAAGAGGAGTTGTTTTGAGGGAGAAGTAAGTATAGCTTACACTGTTGAATCTGACATACACATAATTCACTCAGGACAACAGAATGGATGGGCAGTTGGATAAAAATCTATACCATTCAGAAGAAAGTGCCAGGCTATAAATTTTTTAAAACCTTAGAATCATCAGCACATGATATTTAAAGTCCTGAAGCTAGATAAGATTTCCATCCCAGGGAATGAGTATAGCCAGAGAAGAGAAGTCCGAGAATAGAGACCTAGAGCTCTCAAATATTTAGAAATCAGCTTGACAGAAGGACTCACAGAAGCTGACTGGGAAGCAGCAGTCAGCATGGGAGGAGGCAAATCAAGACACCAGATGCCTTGAGAGCCACATGGAGAAAGTTTATTAGGAAAAAGGAATTATCAACAGTATCAAATGCTGCTGACAGGCCAAGAAAGATGAAGACTGAGAACTGACAACTGGATTGAGCACTGTGGAGGTGACTGGTGACCTTGACAAGAGCTGTTTTGATGGAGTAGTGGGGGTACAATCCTGACTGAAGCAGATTAAGAAAGGAGAATAATTGGCAGCAGAAATGCAAGTACACAGAACTTCCCATGAGTTTGATTATAAAGAGGGGCAAAGAAAATGTGAAGGGGAATGTGAAGGGTTTTTTTTTTTTTTAATGAAAAGCATTACAAATGACTATATGAATAATACAGTAGAGAGAAAAATTACTGATGCAAGAGAAAAAAGAAATAATTGCTGAAGCAATGTGCTCAAGTTGTGGGAGTGACATAAAATATATCCATAGTAAAATATCTGAGTTCAGTTGCAGGTGGTTAAGTAAATGTGTGGTGAAAGCAGAAAGACATGATGACATTTTTTGGTGGCTTCTATTTCCCCAGTGCAACAGAAGCAAGTTCATCAAATCAGATACATATGGAGAGTGAGGGGAGAAGAAGTATGTAAGCCATATGGGAGAATAAATAGAGCAAATATAATAGAAATGACAGGCAAGGTAAGATTAAATGGCCTCTG